TACTAAATGAGTATTCAAAATTGAAATGTTCATTTGTATATATTTATTCTTTTTAGACGCTATAGTTATTTGAGTTTAAAATAAAGAAAATTTGAAAAAAGACAAAAAAGTAAACTAACTAAAGTAAATTAACTAAAGTAACAGTAACAATAAAGTAAAATAAAATAAACGAAAAGAAAAAAGAAAGAAGAGAAAAAAAGTAACGAAAAAATAAAATAAAAAAGACAAAACAAATATAAAATGAACTAGGATGACAGGATGGAGGCTAAAAAATGAAAAAGAATGGCGGCTGAAACAAATAAAAGCAACAAGGAGTGGGGGAATGAGGATGACGGTAGAAGAAGAATCAGGAAAAGCATAGATGAAAGAATCACCCTGCCACGTCATTTAAAAACCGGATGTACATGTACACCGGGAGTATAATATAATTTTGTATATCCTACATCCGGGTGTACCGGTGGGAACCGTACATCCGGGTCTATTTGTATCTTAATTGAAGCTTCAGCCCAATTTTAATAAAGTTTAATGAATTTGATGAAGGCCCAATTAATTAAGAACGACAACTCATTTAATTGATACAGTCTAATTTTTTTTCGGTGGCATTTTTGTAAATTAAGCGAAAAATCACGGCTAACGCTAAATGAGCAATAATGTACATTTAGTGAGCATCTGAACAATTTTATTGAGTATTAGGAGGCTAATAATGAGTATCACGATCTTTGCTTCATATCTTCTAATTCTTTTTCTTTTTCTTATTTTTTCTTTTATAAAAACTTATTAAATTATATCTATAATCCACTCTTATTAATTTCAACATGTGAGTCTAATGTAATATGATACTTTTGAAATATACATTGATATGACATTGTAAAAATGAGCATAACATGAGTACCAAATGAGCATACATAACTTACAAAGTGCACATTAATATGAAAATTGTTAGGTTTGTTAGATGAACATCATGACATTTTAATTGAGCATCAAACCTCCACTATTCAGATGAAAATCATGACTTCTGGAGAATGAGTAATAATGAACTTTTAATGAGCACCAAATCCATTCTGTTGAGTATCAAACCTCCCCTGTTGAGATCAATGAACATTAATGAATTTTTAATGAGCATCAAACCTATACAAATGAGCATTCGTAACTTACAAGATGATCATTGATATGAAAATGGTATGTTTTGTTTGTTGAACATCAAGATATTTTCAGTGAGCATCAAACCTCTGTTATTGGGTACTAGAATCATGAAATTGAGTATCGTGATTTGTGGTCTCGTGTCTATAATCAAATTCTATACGAATCTAATGTAATATGAGACTTTTGAAATATGCATGGATAAACATTTTAAAATGAGCATAACAAAGGTACTAAATGGACATACATAACTTACAAAATGAGTTTTAAAAAATTGAAATGTTCATTTGTATATATTTATTTTTTTTAGACGATATAGTTATTTGAGTTTAAAATAAAGAAAAAAAGAAAAAAGACAAAAAAGTAAACTAACTAAAGTAAATTAACTAAAGTAAAAATAACAAAAAAGTAAAATAAAATAAACGAAAAGAAAAAAGAAAGAAGAGAAAAAAAGTAACGAAAAAATAAAATAAAAAAGACAAAACAAATATAAAATGAACTAGGATGATGGGATGGAGGCTAAAAATGAAAAAGAATGGCGGCTGAAACAAATAAAAGCAACAGGGAGTGAGGGAATGAGGATGACGGCAGAAGAAGAATCAGGAAAAGCATAGATGAGAGAATCACACTGCCACGTCATTTAAAAACCGGATGTACATGTACACCGGGTGTATAATATAATTTCATATATCCTACACCCGGGTGTACGGGTGGGAACCGTACATCCGGGTCTATTTGTATCTTAATTGAAGCTTCAGCCCAATTTTAATAAAGTTTAATGAATTTGATGAAGGCCCAATTAATTAAGAACGACAGTCCATTCAATTGATACAGTCTAATTTTTTTTCGGTGGCATTTTTGTAAATTAAGCGAAAAATCACGGCTAACACTAAATGAGCAATAATGTACTTTTAGTGAGCACCTGAACTATTTTATTGAGTATTAGGAGGCTAATAATGAGTATCACGATCTTTGCTTCATATCTTATAATTCTTTTTCTTTTTCTTATTTTTTTTCTTTTATAAAAACTTATTAAATTATATCTATAATCCACTCTTATTAATTTCAATATGCGAGTCTAATGTAATATGATACTTTTGAAATATACATTGATATGAATTTGTAAAAATGAGCATAACATGAGTACCAAATGAGCATACATAACTTACAAAGTGCACATTAATATGAAAATTGTTAGGTTTGTTAGATGAACATCATGACATTTTAATTGAGCATCAAACCTACACTATTGAGATGGAAATCATGACTTCTGGAGAACGAGTAATAATGAACTTTTAATGAGCACCAAACCTATTCTGTTGAGCATCAAACCTCCTCTATTGAGATCAATGAACATTAATGAATTTTTAATTAACATGCATTCGTAACTTACAAGATGATCATTGATATGAAAATGGTATGTTTTGTTTGTTGAATATCAAGATATTTTCAGTGAGCATCGAACCTCCGTTATTGTGTACTAGAATCGTGAAATTGAGTATCGTGGTTTGTGGTCTCGTGTCTATAATCAAATTCTATGCGAATCTAATGTAATATGAGACTTTTGAAATATGCATGGATAAACATTTTAAAATGAGCATAACAAAGGTACTAAATGGACATACATAACTTACAAAATGAGTTTTCAAAAATTGAAATGTTCATTTGTATATATTTATTCTTTTTAGACGCTATAGTTATTTGAGTTTAAAATAAAGAAAAAAAAAAGAAAAAAGACAAAAAAGTAAACTAACTAAAGTAAATTAACTAAAGTAAAAGTAACAAAAAAGTAAAATAAAAGAAACGAAAAGAAAAAAAGAAAGAAGAGAAAAAAAGTAATGAAAAAATAAAATAAAAAATACAAAACAAATATAAAACGAACTAGGATGGCGGGATGGAGGCTAAAAAATGAAAAAGAATGGCGGCTGAAACAAATAAAAGCAACAGGGAGTGGGGGAATGAGGATGACGGCAGAAGAAGAATCAGGAAAAGCATAGATGAGAGAATCAGCCTGCCACGTCATTTAAAAACCGGGTGTACATGTACACCCGGGTGTATAATATAATTTGCCGTAATAGAGGGGTTGTCCGATGTGTTCTATATACATCGATTTTCAATGATTTGTGATTTTTCCTTATTTTCCCAATATTAAAGAATATCATAATAATTTGAGTGTGCACTTTATTTTATTACCCAAATTTAACTTTGCAGCCCCTTTTTAAAATTATTTGCATTTGCACCTCAACCTCATATGAGGAAACAAAAATGTCTCTGGATCAGGAATATGTTGAAGGCCAATAGAATTGTTAACGAAGAGTATTTTGTCTTTTCGTACGGGGATGGAGTGCACATACAAAACATTTTAAAAACGGGATGCAAATTTCAATTTAGACAATAAAATGAGGTGTAAACTCAAATTATCCAAGATTATAGCAGGTGGTACAAGTTGATCAAAATCTTGAAAGTTTTAGGACCTTATAATTTACCTTTTCATTAATTATATTCATTTTGTTTATCTCATTAAACTCAAAGTGCTTTACGTTAGGTAATCCCTAACTCCCCAAGTAAAAACCGACCACAATTTTTAGTTTGTTTGAATAAAACAACTTAAACAAAAAGTAGAGTAAACATGAGAAAATAGGAATTAATGCACTCACCTCTCATAATTGAAGCAAATGGTGTTTTCTATTGAAATTCTAGCAAAAGAAAGAAATAAGTGAATGAACTCAATTTTCAGGACATATCCAAGTACAAGGAACATCTAGGACTAACCTTCCACACATTTAGGACTAACCTTTCTCTCAGTCACAATTGATATTTTCTTCAAGCTTTAACACACATTTCTCCTAACTTCTTGCTATCTAGTTTTGATCCTATAAATAGAGAAGTTTGTAAAACTATTTTATCATCAATTATATCCGATATTAGATCATCATAACACAACCAAGAGGAGTTGCATAATGTCCATGAGTGATATGTGAGGCGTAGGTTTTTGAAAGTTTTTAGTTTTAATTTGAATCTCTTCTTTTTATTCTTGAAAGTGATAGAAGTATTTTTTAGCGTACTATCTCGATCTTTTTATTCTAAAAAATAAGTCATAATATAAAAGATTATGATCGATAAATGACCACTTTAATTTAGTCCATCAAAAGAAAAACAAACTACTACTTATATGTTTTACATCATGATCAATATCCAAAACTTTGAGAAAAAAAATGAATCACTTTCAAAAACTCATAATTTGATTCGGTACATTTTTTATTCGACAAAAAAATAATATTTCCCCCTTCCCAAATAAATTTAAAAAGTCAAATTTTATTAGCAACCAATCTTAAAGTTAAATCTTTTATTTGATCACTAATTCAATTTTTATGGTTACAGTTTACATATTCAAAAAACAACATTAAAATATCTATAAAATTGCAAAATTCAAATAAAAATATAATTCAATGACTAAAATAAGTTTTTTTTTTCAAATAAAACCAGAGGACTAGATCTCAGTCCAAAAATTCCCTTGGGCAATAGTTTATTAGGTTATTTTATCTTATTTTCCTTTCTGTTTTCTTGTGTTTTTTCTTTCTTGTTTTGTTTCTTATTTACACACTGTACCTTCTCTTTTTATCAATAAAATCTTCAATTAAAAAAAAGTGACTAAAATAAGTTTATTTGAATAAAAATCGTAACTTTATGAATCAATTTAGGACAGGGAGCAGAACTAAAAATTACCAACCTAGATAATATTATTTAATCTGATATTTTGGGGCATAAAAGCACATACTCAAAGATCAGTCACTCTCAAAATCAACGTTGACAATAAGATAAACATAAGCATCTTGTATCATTGCTCTATCATTTTCTTATGCATATGATGAATATGAGGGACCTCAAACAAATTATAATTTCATTGTGATAAAATGATAAAAAATGTGGGGATATTCTCATCTTTAGTCACGAGGTGTTTGTGATAATTTCTCCAGCAATTAAAATAGGAATGCTCCTCTGCTGCTGTTGGTATGGATACCGACCGGTGACAGGGTAGTGGGCTTTCTTTAATAACAATAATGACAATACGAGTAATAATAATAACGTAAAGAACAAAACCACATCCCCCACCACCACCGCCACGGCGCCGCCGCCTATAGTCCCATCCGTCAGCTGCACGTTCCGTGTTTGTTCTTTACCACTCCCACTCCATCCAGCTCACAGCCCCCACCTTTGTAAACCAATAGCCTTCTCTTGGCTTCCACAGTTCCACATCCTTCATTTTCCTGCGTTATTCAAGAAATCTTGACCCAAATCCCCTCTAGTCTTTCTTGTTTTGAGATCGAATCCCCAGAGAGAGCATCCTCTGCTCGAGTATAACCCACTTCCAGGTATTTATTTATCTGTTTGGGCTTTTCTTGTTTGTCAAAATCATCATGCAAGAATACTTTTTTTTTATTTAGTTATGGATTTTTACAGTTGAATTGATGAACGGACCTAGTTAAGTTAATAATTCCCTCTATATCAGAGTAAATAGCGTTCGATTTGTTCTTGGTCTGCTTTTGAGGAATTCAGTATAATAAGATTAAAGTGTTGACAAATCCACTTCATATGTTCGTCCTTTTCTTCCTTTATCGTTTTAGTGATTTTGCTTTAAGTCTTTTGAATCTTGGGGTCTCTCATTTCCACTTACTTTATTTCAAACATATCTCCGGAGTTTACCAACTTTTTTTTTATTGACTGACTACCTCTCTCATTTGCAAATAAATTTTGGATTTCATATTTAGGACCCATAGTAGGGATCTCTCATTTTTTCTATTTTCCTAATCTATTTGCAATCAATATACAGTAGTCTACTGTCTTCTACTTTCGCTTTGCTTGTATTGGTAAGATCACATGTAAAATCCCTTTTTTATCTAAAGCTGAGGATTGAAATAGCCATATATTCCGATTGCTCTTTCTGACAAGAGTGTATATTGAGTGGTTTTTTGGATAAACATTTATTTGCAGTAAAAGATTTGATCTTTATCTTATTTATTTTGAAGCGCAGAACATGGAACTTTGAATAATTGAAAGGGTTAGATATCTTTCTGTCTTTGCCTTCTGATCTGTTCTTAAGATATACTTCTTTCAGAATTTCCTGTTTTTCTGTCTCCTGGTTCTAATATAAAATTACAAGATTGTGGTGTGTTGCTTAGCATTAAAAACTCTCAACTTGATTTGTATAGTTGAGATTCCCATTAAAGGACAAAAGCTAAAGGCTGCCTAACAGTATACAATTATGGACTCTACTCACATGCAAAAGCATATATATTGATTTCTTTTTCCCTTTTTTTGATTGATTGATTGATTGATCTTCCGTACTCTATTATGCTGCATTTGACAATTTATAGTGCATTTCAATAAGTAGTTGAATTGATGAATGGTTTACTGTTTTGTTAGCTGGCTTTGTTAGCATCAGCTCAGATCTTCTGTGAAGGCTTTGAAAAATTGAGCAAAGATTTAGCAGAACCTTGTTTTCTATTTTGACTTTCCCTGAGATCAGAACATTGGTAAGTTTCAAATAGATGACCGCTTTCTGTTCCTGAGCAAAAATGGGCTGTTCTGTCTCAACCAATAGTAATGGAGAGAAAGATTCTTCTGAATGTTTATGCATGAACGTGTTTGGGAGAAAGAGAACATTCCAGAAAAATATCAGGGAATTGCAGCAGTTGTCTTCCATACCCAACCGAATTTTCACAAATGGAAGGAGCCGTACTTCTTGTATATTCACTCAACAAGGCCGCAAGGGTATAAATCAGGATGCCATGATTGTGTGGGAAGTATGTTTTTGTTATTTCTTTTTTTAATCCTTATAATAAGCAACATCCCTCTTAGATACACCATTAGATTGAAGCTTCATTGGTTATTTCTTTATACTTGTAGGATTTCATGGCTGAAGATGTAACTTTTTGTGGTGTCTTTGACGGGCATGGCCCATACGGTCATATGGTTGCTCGCAAAGTGAGGGATCAATTGCCTTTGAAGCTATTGTCATTCTTGCGGGCCATCGAATCTAAACGCAACGGGTCTTCTACTTCTAATTGCTGCAATAGGGACCCAAAGTTGCAGGTTGTTGACCCTGAGAAGGTTGGTCTTGTTGAGGATAAAGCGGATGGCTCTTCTTGGAGAGAGGCTTTCTTGAAATCATACAAGGCTATGGACAAAGATTTGAGGTCTCATCCTAACTTAGATTGCTTTTGCAGTGGTAGTACTGCTGTTACTATTGTAAAACAGGTATGAGGGAAACCACACTTATATCTGCCATTTTTATGCGTTTTATAGGCTTAAAAATTGAAACCTTTATATATAATGAATCTTTTGTTTAGTCCCAATAACAAAAAAATAACCTGACTTGCACATCATATAAGGCCATCTCCAACAGTCTACACCATTTTTTACACTAAAATGGTGTAAACATCACATCATACAGTATTTTATCTCCAACAGTTTACACCATTTTCAACACCAAAAAGGAATATTCCTTTTTTATTCTTTTTACTAACTTTTTACCATTCTTCTATTTAAGTATGTAATTATCATATATTTATACATTAGCCCCTCATTTAATATTTTGACATTTCACACATTATTTCACACATACAAACTAAAATACACTATTTTAATATGTATTTTTCTTAAGTATCATTTGTATTCTGTTATTATGTTGTTTGGGTTTGAAACTCTATTTATAATATTGTGTGATTTAAATTTTATTATATTTTTTTATTTTCTATAAAATTAATAATTTTAATTACTTGTTCTAAACAGAGGTTTTTACTTGGATTACGATTTGTCCCAGATCAGATAAGACCAGATTCGACTAAACTTGAATAGTTATAAAAATATAAAGAAATCAGACCTGACCACATCTGTTCAGATCAGACCAGACCAAATCATACCGGACCAGATCAGACCAGCAAATTACAGTCCAAATAAAAACATCCTAATTTGTTGTTCTAAAATGGGTCAAAAGTATAACAACCAAAAGTTTGGGTCACATTTGAAATAAAATAAAAATTAAAAAAAAAAGATGGCGTAGGGGATGGTGTGCGCCATATATGGTGTAAACCCAAACTCCCTCCCCCATTTTGGTGAGATGGTGTGAAGAATGGTGTAGCTATTGGAGCAAGTTTTTGGCAAATACACCAATTTGGTGTGTGATTTGGTGGTCTGTTGGAGAAGCTCTAATAGGGAGTTATATTAGGGTCACAATTATGTGGACGAATACAGAGGGTAGTTTGGTCCAGAAACTCAACCATGGGTTATAATTATGCGGACAAATAGTGAGGTTAATTTGGTGCTAAAGATTAAAGTCCTACAACTTTTATTACAATATATGTAGTACTACCTCCGTCCCAAAATACTTAGCCAAATCCTAAAATTTGGACCATGGTTTTGATTAGTATAATATTATGAAAGTTATAAATTTTGTACTTTTATGAAAGTGCTTTTAACAAAGAGCATTTTAGTATCATTTTTTCCCTTGTTTTTTTATCCTTATATATATAAACATTATTTGTATCCTTTTTATTTTATCATTTTTATGTATATTCATTTCTTTTTATATTAGCTTATCTTTTTTATCTTTATTTTCTTTCTTTTCCTTTTGGTGGTGATATCATGTATCAATTCATGTTAGCCGACCCCAATATTTTTTGGGACTAAGGCTTGGATGTTGTTGTTGTATTTTGGGATGGAGGTAGTATCATTTTTCATGAGTCATATGCTGAAAACGTAACTGGTCAGGGATTTATTTATAATTTTCAAAAACCTTAAGGGAGGTAGATGTAATTAACATTTCTTCTTATTGAGTTTGTATCTGTTTGTGTTGTTTATAAGGGATCAAATCTTTTCATGGGGAGTATTGGCGATTCTCGGGCAATCTTGGCATCAAGAGACAGCAATGATATGATGGTGGCTACCCAATTGACAGTTGATTTGAAGCCTGATTTACCTAGTATTGTTTACTTCTCTTTCTCTCACTTTTTTCTTTTCTTTTTTACATATTAAAATAGACGTCTTTAATTTATTAAAAAAACATTTGAATAATGAGGTTGCATTATTTGTTGTTGTAGAGGAAGCAGAGAGGATAAAACGGTGCAAGGGACGGGTTTTTGCATTACAAGACGAACCAGAAGTGCAGAGAGTTTGGCTGCCATTTGATAATGCCCCAGGGTTGGCTATGGCTAGAGCATTTGGGGATTTCTGTTTGAAGGATTATGGAGTAATCTCTATCCCAGAAGTCTCTCACCGTGTTCTTACTGATAGGGACAAGTTCATTGTTCTTGCATCTGATGGTGTAAGTCCAATCTTCATACCATTTAGCTATTTTTGCATGGTTAAGATATGCCTCAAGTCATTCATTTAAATTATTAAGTCACACTCAAAATTATAATATATCAGGGCATATGTCGTATTTGCATGTTGGTTTTACAATATTAATATTGTAATTAGACATTGTTAAGTCTCTCATATTGACCAAATTAAAAATATTTTATTTTATTATCCCACGACCATTAGGTCATTTTTTATTTTGGTCCTCACTTTTATTTCACTTTTGGTCCTATGACTAATCTTCCTGTCCTTTATGAGTTACGGTCCAGCCGACGACTTATCCAGTCAATTTACGTAAAATTTCCGGTTGATTTTTGACATATAAGTGGCCGGAAATCATAGTCATGCACAAATGAAAAAACTGCAATTCCCGTGTCACTATAATGTCCGTATAATATGATTGAACCTCAAGTTCTAACAAACATAACTATGATAGCTTTTGTATAGTCGAATAAATACACTTTTGTGTTTTTTCAGGTATGGGATGTGCTAAGCAATGAAGAAGTGGTTGAAATAGTGACATCAGCACCTTCAAGGTCATGCGCAGCAAGAAGCATAGTAGGATGTGCAGCACGCGAATGGAAGGCGAAGTATCCTACATCAAAGATGGATGATTGTGCGGTGGTTTGCTTGTTCCTAGATGGGAAGATGGATCCCGAATCCGACCAAGAAGAACAACATGCCGGCTTCGGCTTCTCTTCTGCCAACACTAACCATTCTGGATATGTTGCGGAATCAGATGATGTACAACAACAGAGCATTGAACCCTCACTGCAAAGGAACTTCACTGTTAGATCAGCAGAAGAGAGCAATAGTGCTTACAAAACAACAGTGGCTGCGTATGATGAAGACGAGGGGGATTGGTCAGGACTGGAAGGTGTCACGCGAGTCAACTCGTTGGTTCAACTTCCTAGATTTTCTGGAGAGAGGGAAAGAACTTCGATTTGAGTTTCTCTCGCTGTTATCATCAATTCATCGTCATATTCTCGAAAGGTTTTCGTGTAAGAAACTGCTGTGGGCATTCAGCTTTCCCGCTTTCTGTATGTGGTCATTGGTATTGAGTTTGCTGCCATTTTTCTTGCAGTTTTTTTTTATCAATTGTACAATCCATTTTAATGAAGATGCTGCCACACTATTAGTATGTGTATATGCTGTAATCGTGTTTTTGGGTAGACAATAGGAACTGCTAGTTCGTGTCAGTGATTGTGTATGGGTGGTTTGCTGGATCGCAAGATTAAATAATAATGTATCAGGAGAATGGAAAATTTAAATCTTTGGCAATAGGTCCAAATAGATTACTGAGACCTGGTTTGGTATCCTCTATTTCGCCTCATCAATTTTATCATTATTATCCAATTTATTACCGACATGTTTTTTATTTTTTGCGTTAAAATTGTATAATAAAAAGATTAATAAAGTTGGAGTTATTTTTTGCCTTTCACATTCGTGCATGAACTTGATTTTTTAGTGTTAATTAAGTACACTCGTTACACTAACACGTTAATATGGTTGAGTTGGCTAACATAATGCCGAGTAAGCTGTAAGAAGGGGAAGTCAACTAAGGTTCTGGCGTCGACCTTTAAGCGGTCGACCTAGGGATGGACTAAACCGGCCCGGTCCGCTACTGTGCGGGCCCGGACCGGACCGGGATCGGTTGGCCGGTTTCGGGCTTTTAGCCCGTTTGGGCGGGTCGGGCGGGCCGGAGTCAGGCCCAACTTTTGTTGAACCGGCCCGGGTGGTTCGGGCTGGGCCCGGTTCAATTTTTTTTGTTTGTTTTTTCAATTTTTTTTCTTTTCCTAGGGTAGGGCAGGGTGTTTTGGGGAGGTTTGGGGGGTAGGGGGTCAGGTGGGTCAAGGGATAACAAGAAAGGCAAAAAAAAAATTAAACATGGAACCAGGCCCGACCCAACCCGGTTAGGCCCGAACTCGGTATCAACCCGGGCCGGTTCCGAGCCCAAGTAATTGCAAAACAAGCCCGCCCGGGCCTGGCCCGGAACCGGAACTGGCCCGGCCCGGGTCCATCACTAAGTCGACCTGTAAGGGAAAGTCAACGAGATGCATTTATGAAATTTTGTATAGAAATGTATCGGCTAACATTCATTACACATTCCTACTCAAATTATCTATACATTACACTAGGGGTGGACTCGGGCCGGGTGGCCCGACCCGGAACCGGCCCGTGGGTTTTCCGGTCCGGGCTCGGGTCACCCAAAACAAGGCCCGACCCGGCCGGGCCCGGGCCCGGTTCGGGCCAAAACCTATTTTTTTCAATTTTTTTTAAATTTTCGGGTTGGGCTGGGTATTTTGGGCCATTTTGGACCCGGTGGTTACCCGGGCCGGTCCCGGGTCCACCATTTCTGAACCGCCGGCCCGGACCCGAGTCCACCCCTACATTACACATAGGGATTGACTCAACCGGGCTGGCCCGGGCCGGAACCGGCCTGACTCGCTACTGTGCGGGCCCGGACCGGGACCGGTTGGCCGGTTCCGGGCTTTTAGCCCGTTTGGGCGGGCCGGGCGGGCCGGGCTCGGGCCCAGTTTTGGGCGAACCGGCCCGGGCGGTTCGGGCCGTGCCCGGGTCATTTTTTTTTGTTTTTTCAATTTTTTTTTCTTTTCCTAGGGTAGGGCTGGGTGTTTTGGGGAGGTTTGGGGTGGGGGTGAGGGGGGGGATAACAAGAAAGCAAAAAAAAAATAGACATTGAACCGGCCCCGGCCCGACCCGGTTAGGCCCGGACCCGGTATCAACCCGGGCCGGTTTCGGGCCCAAGGATTTGCAAAAAAGCCCGCCCGGCCCCGGTCCGGAACCGGACCGGCCCGGGTCCATCCCTAATTACACATTCCTACTCAAATTATCTATACAGTAAACTCTAAGTTGCAATAAATTATAAGATACTTAGATGCGTAATGTTACACCCATATATTTTTATAGTTTTCTTTAATCATTGCTCATTTTATCATAACTATCAAGATAATTTTATACGGAGTAGTTTCTATTCGGGAAAATCACATTTTTAGTCCCTGAAATAGTCAACATATTGAAATGTCAGAGTCGTATTTCGGAAATTGTAAATGTCACTCCTCAATTGTCCAAATTGACGTAAATGTGATCCTTTTAGGGGTGAAATATAGCCCATATTAGGGATGGACTCGGGTCCGGGCCGGGCCTAGGCCCGGTCGGGCCTAGGCCCGGTCGGGCCGCCGGTTTGTATGACATGGGCCCGGGACCAGCCCGAGGGTTGGACGGGTCCAGGTCGGGCCGGGCCACCCCGCCCGGGTCACGGGTCGGGCCACCCGCCGGGTCGGGCCGGGCCGGTTAAAGATTTTTTTTTATAATTTATATTTTATAGTTTATAGTTTTATACAAACTTCAAGTGCATTTATTTGAAATGAAATAGGAACTACATTTGAAAATTAAAACAAACTTCAAGAGACAAACATTTTGTAAATTGTAATCAATCGGAACTTCCCGCACCTCCCGATCCTTTGGCTTTGTCACATGACTTCATATGCTTCATTACCATCTCGTATCCGCCTAAAATCCCCATGCTACATTTTTTCCCGCACCATTTGCATGTTGTGTACCACATCCCGGTCTTCGGGTCCTTTTGCTTATCAAAATTATACCGTATAACGACATCTTGACTTTCCATCTTAAAAAGTTAAAAATGGTAGATATAATAATCTTACAATAGATGGAGATGAAGTATAAAGTAGATATATAATTAATAAATATAATATATTGGAGAATAAGAGAATTAGAGAGTAGAGAGTTAAGAATAGGATTTAGGAAGAATTGGAGAAGAGATATGAAAAAATGTTTAGGATTTAGGAGTATTTATAGGTTTTTTTACCCCACACCTCCCACCACCCCCCACCCCACCCAACCACCCCGGACCCCCCCTGCACCCCACCCAACGGCTATATAGCCGTTTGGATTGTCCCCAGCCCACCCCCCAAGGCCATAACGGCTAGTAACTATTTAACAAATTTTTTTTAAAAAAAAAAATAGGACCGTTGGACCCGGGCCCGACCCGGCCGGGCCGGGTCACATTATTCCGGAACCGTGCCCGCTCCGCCCGCTCCTACCGGTTCGGGTCTACACCCGGTCCCGGGCCCGCACAGTAGCAGGCCAGGTCACGGGCCGGGTAGCCCGAACCGAATCCAAACCTAGCCCAGATTGTACATTTCACCCCTCGAAGCACTAGATTTATAACAATTTCGATAATAGAGGAGTGACATTTACAAACTCGGGAACACGGATCTGACATTTCAATATGGTGACTATTTGAAGGATTAAAAATGCGATTTTCCCTTTTTATTCAATACAAATGTTTATTTACAAATAAACGATGAAATATGCCAATTTTATACTTAAAAAACATTTTGTATTAGAAATATGCCTATCTCGTCAGTTAGATGTGCCAATACCATGCAGATTGATCAGTTTGTATTTTGAAAATACTAATTATTCCGCCATTGCTAGACTAACTATTGTTTAGCATAAAAATGACCTCCTGTCGTTAAGAATTTTGTGCTAATCTCAGTTTTTTTTCTTAACTCGTCTCATATCAAATGCTTTGGAGTGCACTTGTTGTTATTTTGTCCTGAATCTTGATATATTGATTAAAAAAATACTGTATTACATTATTTACATGCTTGTGGTTTGAATAAAATATAAGGCATTAAATGTTGAACATTTGTAGAGATATAAGTCTTTTATAATGTACCCTAATATGCATACATTTTTTGAAAAAGGTTCAAATAGGCACTCGAACTAACTTAAAAAGTGCAAATCATCCCTTATATAGAAGGTTCTGTCCGGCCGTCGTCATTTGGGGCGGTTCCCGGTGGAATTTTTTGATGAAATGTTTTGAGCATCCTCTTTATTAAGTCTAATTTACCCATACCAAATTTCAGATAAAAATTCAACCGAGAAGACAATAAAATGATTTTCTGAAATGTACTGCGTTGTTTAACTGCGCAGTTATCTTCAAAAATTCATTTGACTGCTTTCCCAATTGAATTTGTAGCTGAAATTTTCTATGAGTAAACTAGACTTTATGAAGAAGATGCTCAAAAAAATTCATCAAAAAATTCTACCGGGAAGGCGGGAACCGCCCCAAATGGCGACGGCCGTACTGAGCCTCCTATATAAGGGGTGATTTGCACTTTTTAAGTTAGTTCGAGAGCCTATTTGACCCTTTTTCCCTACATTTTTCTTGAACGTTAATTAAAGTGGACAGGGAATAATTTATTGTCTTGGTCCTCTTGGACATCTAAGTATCTAACTCACTCATCAGACTTTTTAAAAAAACACTCACTCATCACAGTGCTTGCAATTATAATTCTAGTTCATCGACGCACCTTAGCATACTAAGCAATAATATAATCATCAATTAAGTAGATAAAAAAGCAATACAAAAGGAAGAAAATAAAGAAGGTAAGGTTACAACAATAATATTACAACAATTAAGTCAAGGATTTTCTTAATTAACAAGTATGTGTCTTGCTACGGTTTATCTGTATCATCACTTCACTGCAGTTTCTTGGAGCTAAAATAGCAATTGAAAAAACCAACGGAACACATATAGACTGTTAAAACATACTTAGTTGATTGTACTTATCCCAAGGACAAGGTAAAACTATTCAAGTTGGACTTGCTGAAATTCCATACCTCGCCTTTTTTTGTCGACGAGGACTGTTTGGCATAGTAGTAGGTGTGGCCTCTTACGAATCTTCAGAAATCCGAGCCTCGGACTTCTCATTGGAATAACTGCAGTAAATTATAACGCATGAATCAGGCATTGTCATAGCTTCGTTTCACCTAAGATTTATTACTGAATATTGTCTGAATAAATCCATCCCCCAGTTTCACATTAACTGAGACGTTTAAAGGATTATGTAGCTAAACAGAAAGGTTAAGAAACTCATAAATAATTCTACCTCAAAAAAAGAAACTCATCAAATATCCTAAAATGTTACTATAAAAGAAAAGTAGTACGGAGTACTATATACCTAAACTACTTTTAACCAGTACTCCTCGGTAGTCGGTACTATTAGTTATCAATTTAATATACATGGGTTGTTTTTCATGTACTATTACAAAACTGGCATTCAATAAACTCTTGACATTTTTATTGTTGTTGTTGTATACTTATACTCCGTATCAGTCAATTATTTGTCATTGTTTCTTTGATCTATAACTGAGACGTACATGGAAAAATTTATAAAACTGGCATTCAATAATCTCTTGACATTAATATAAATCAGCCACTAATGTGAAACAAAGGTAAACTAGAAACAACATTCATTCTGAAATGGACAGTATTCTATAGTATATCCTTACGTCGAGAGTATAGTGACCCACACAAGTTCAACACAGTCTACCCACAGAAGCCTTTGCTCCAACGGGATCACACCATAAGTGATCAGATGAGCAAATGGCCAAAGCTTCCATCCAGCCTGAAACAAATTACAACCAAAATGATTTGTCTCCCTGTAGCCATTTACCCAAAATCCAAAGTTTACATTTTGATTTCTTGTTAATAACTTTTTGCTGCCTAACTTCATGAACAGATTTACAAGATTGCCATAGGATGATAAATTAGCGATGCTTATCGATCACATAATGCAATAAACCTTCAACAAAAAAACAATTGAGTAGTACTCTTTACTTTCAGATTAAGCCAAACATTTTTCTCACCGTCAGCATGGGCCAATACGTGGATCGGAGCTCGCTAAAAATGTTGCTAGGGGATTCAAAACGCAAGAAGCCCAGAACGACATAGTAGATGCTGTTCCAAACGGAAGACCATATGGTTTGGTCAAAAGCAACTTTGGCGGGAACAACCCACCAACTATTGAATGGGAAGAGAGCCTGTGAGATCAAGCCAAATCCTTTTTAGCAAATTAAAATTTAGAGGATAATAATAAGGGCTGGCATAGGTTTAGGGAATTGTTAAGAGTAGTAAAGTTTTCTTGGATTACCGCCAACTCTTATTATACTTTTTTACTTAGGGGTAAATTTAAGAAAATTTTACCATCCCCTGATCTTGTCCCTGCATATATCATCATCCAAAATTCGAAAGGTGTAAAAAAGGCTGACTTAAAATAACTGAACCAAAACCATTACCTCACAAAACTGGTAATAATAGTGGGAGAGAGATCCATGAAGTGAGAAACCAACAAGGCCAGACCTGAACATGCGTGTCCGGTCAAAATCAAGAAGAGGTTTCCCTTCATAACACTTCAAGCCCATAATAAGAGCATAAAATTAGAGGGAAAATAAAAAAGGTTGTTCACATGAACATAAAATAAGGAAATGAAAATTCGGGTTTGGAAATTACAGATGAAAGAAGAGCATACTTGTGCAATCCAATCTCCAAGAGAATAAACAATGCCACTAATCACCATTTTAGCTAATACAGGGTTTGCTTTTAGAGCCTCTTCATAAGCAATCCAATTATGCTCTGGGGCATACCTCAAGACTTCATAAAGGGTCCATCCCTGAGTCCCAAACAAAAACGAATTCTTCATTTTCTTAAATTCAGAACTGACTTGTTTTGCATTTCAACACTTCAACTCATCGCAACAAAGGTATAACATTTGAAATGAATCAAGTAGACCTTTCTAATATAGCAAAAAGAACATAATAAGGTACAGTTTGTTTCCGGGTGAGCTTAGATTCTTTCAAGTTTAATTCTAGTTTCACCAAGTCTGTTTACCGTTTTATGATAAGAATCTAAATTTAAACCAAAATCACCTTGGAAATTTTCGGAAAATCTTGAATGATCCATTTTTGAACAGCCTCAGGAAGTACGAATAGAATATTTTCAAAGTTAGGCTGTCTTATATATTTTTAATAAGTTCAGCTAGCTCAACCCCCAATCCCCATTGAAACAAACTTACAAGCTTTTACTCTATTCAACTAATAATTATACACAGTTTTTATGTATGCATTTAGTTCATCCTATCCAGCCTACTAAACCTATGTTCAAGGGATTTACTTAAAACTTGATAAGTGCAGTCAATCCAAAGAGAGGTTTGAGGATGATGAGGTGAACCCCTTTCTTAAACTAAACAGAAACTTTAGCTGTATTAATAGAAAAATTAGAATAAGCCAAATTTCAAATTCCCAATTTCGAAGGATACTAACTCACTTTCCAATAGTCATGATCAATGGTAAGCAGCTTAGTGATAGCCAGAGTACCAGCACCTAGAACAATTGCAGCATTAAGAAACCGATCTCTGTCAGACACATTTGACACGGTCTCATTTTTAATCGTCTCCGACTTTGACTCTCCGGTAGCCTTCTCGTCATCTCTTTCAATGCTCTCCGCAGGGCCCAACTCTCTGTCTTCAGCCACGGAGTTGAGTCGCCGACGGGAAGTGGTTTTCGGTAACAGCAGCGAGGTCAAAGAAGTGCTTTGATCGCATAACTGGGCGGAATTGAAGGGAAGGGTCCGAGGTTTCACGGCTTCAAAGGTGGAGATTTTTGCGGGTGAAGGGAAGAGATGGGCAGTGATGGTGCTGAGCGCCGACATCCTCGGCGGTGGTGGCGCGTGAACGTAAGTCACTAGTTAAAGTAAAACAGTCTTATAAGATTATTATTAGTTGGGTTGAAGCCTGATGGGAGGGAAAAAAAAGAGGAAATAGATCGTGGAAAAAAAGAATTGAAAATATGAAAAAGAAGGTTCCACCGAGACTTGAACTCGGGTTACTGGATTCAGAGTCCAATGTCCTGACCACTAGACCATGGAACCACACTGCTCTGCAATATGTTTTACAATATACTTCATATAACCGCCTAACTAGTAAGAGCTATGCTAAAGGTACCCCAAAGTTGTACCCCATTTTTACCCCACTCCTAATGTGTGGTCATAAATGGGGCAACTCATTTAAGTGGGGCACCACTTAAATGAGTTACCCCATTTATGGCCACACAATTATGGGTGGGGTAAAAATGGGATACAACTTTGAGGTACCTTTAGCATTTTACAACTAGTAAATGAGTAATATATTCTCCGCTCGATTTGTGAATCCAATTCCTATAAGACTATTTGAATATAAAAAACTCAAATAAGAATATTAGTAATTTTCGATTTTCACATTTACCAAATGCAAACACAAATATTGATATATTCGATTCAAAAGTTATTCAAATATATTCGAATAATACTTATAATAATAGTAATATTAGTAATAACAATAATTACAATTCTAACAATAATAGGTCTTATTTTAGGAATATTACTAAATAAAAGCATGAAGATAAAAAAGTGATCACATGGATAAAATCCCAAAATATGACTAATATGCAGTGACTAATGTATTTTCCATAATAGTGACTTGTAGTTTTAGTGACTGGAATTAGACCAGTGACCACCCGTGCACTGATTGTCGTCGCCATCCCGTCCAGTGACTGTTGTCGTCGTCGCCGGTGACTGCCACCGCCCACGACACGTGATTGCCACCGCAGCCCGATCAGTGACTCCCCCCAGGTAGTGACTGCCGCCACCACCGGCCAGTGACTGTTGTCGCCCCGACCAGTGACTGCCACAATTATTCCGGCCTCCGTCTTTACTATGCTGAATCTAGTGCTACATATAAATTCCTTGTTTTGCAAAGTGATGTGCTTGAATGTAATACAATTATTGAAATAAAAAATGCTGAATTTTTTGAAAATGTGTTTCCTTTGAAACGTGAACACAAGACCATTGCACTATATAGTGAGTATGATCCATTACAAGGAAAACCTTTAATGATGATTCCTGTAGTGATTGTGATACATTAAAAGAAAATGATACTTTTAATGATGAATCTTCTCTTTTGAGAAGAAGTAAGAGGTCAAAGATAGAAAAATCTTTTGGAAATGATTTTTATATATATCTTGTTAATGATGAGCCTTTAACTTATTCACAAGCTATTTCTTCAAAAGAAGCTCCATTTTGGCTTGAGGCCATATAAAATGAAATTGAGTCAATCAAACAAAATAAAACTTGGGTTTTAATCGATTTACCAAAATGTTGTAAACCAATCGGATGCAAATGGGTTTTTTTAAAAAAGAAATTAAATCCGGATGGTTCAATTGATAAATATAAAGCGAGGCTTGTGGCGAAAGGTTTTTCTCAAAAACAAGATATTGATTATTTTGATACATTTGCACCGGTACACGTATTTCTTCCATTCGAACTTTAATTGTCTTGACTTCTATTCACAAACTTTTTGTCCATCAAATGGATGTTAAAATTGCGTTTTTAAATGGTGAACTAGATGAAGAAATTTATATGGTGCAACCGGAGGGTCATGTAGTTATTGGTCAGGAACACAAAGTGTGTAAGTTGGCCAAATCTTTATATGGTTTGAAACATGCTCCAAAACGATTGAATGAAAAATTTGATGAAGTGTTATTTGCTCATGGTTTTACCTCACTAGAAGTAGATAAGTGTGTATACACTAAATGTGAAAATGGTGTGTGCATTATTATTTGCTTATATGTGGATGATATGTTAATTTTTAGTAGCAACCTTGAGCTAATAAATGAGACAAAATCATTTCTTGCTTCAAAATTTGTTATGAAAGACTTGGGGGAAGCACAAGTGATTTTGGGTATGAAAGCATTATACTATCTCAAGAGCATTATGCTGAAAAACTTCTAAAGAGGTTTGGATATTTCGATGTCACTCCCGTGAGCACCCCCTTATGACTATCATATACACTTGAAAAAACATAGAGGTGATGTGGCACCGCACCCGAACGTCCTTGAAATTCAAATTAAATTTCAAAGCTTAAGTATTGAATTTCCCTATTATCGAACAATTGTAAAACGATTAAAGTTTTACGTAATGTGTGATTAATCATATTACTGTTTGGGCTCGTATAATACTAATGGACTTCCAAATAATTAATTGGGTCATCTTATTGATATTGGGGCCCAACATTCTTAAATAAAGATATATAACCCCTCGATACAAAGTAAGAACGGTCGGGCAGCCCAAATGTTATTTTGGGCCTAACCTGCTAAAAGTAGCAATTATTCAAGAATGGCATCCTAGACCCACTGTAGGGTAACCCCACACGGCTAGTAGCCCAGCAATATGATTACTAATGTCATAAATAAGTGATAGAATGATTGGAGAAGAATACACATGTCTATGATTCCCATCTTTGGCATTATTAAGCTAAATAATGGAAGTATGGTTTCTTTTATAATTATACATCATATAAATTATTGAGACCATCCTACACATATTAGAGATCAATAATATGATGTAGAGGGTTGACTTGATCTAAATAAATTGGGATGAGTACAAAAAGGACATCTTATGACAAAAGATAAAAACAATAGGACTCATCTTTCCACTTTTGGAAGTATTGGTGGATATTTTTCTCCCAAATTAATTAGGGGACATAAGAGTGTGCCCCACACCTTCCTAGAACCTGCAAAACAAGAAGAATAAATTAGAACACATAAATGGGGCCGACCTATTGAGTTGAGAGCTCAAACAATATAAAAAGAAATAAAAGAGGAGGACCATCCCATGTTTGATTGCAATCAAACACTCTACCCTCTTTTTGTGCACCACATACTCTTCTAGCATGATTGATAGGACTCTTAAATACCTCTCCCTCATCCCCATTTGAACTCTAGAAGATAAGAGAGAAGGGAGATCCTCACAATCAAAAGAAAGGGAGATAAGAGCAAACTGTCGCAGGGAGAATTTCAGTACGTAGGTCTTCTTGTTCGACTCATATATTGAGTTTTACTCATCCAAAAGGGCATGTGAGGTGTCCACTGAAATATATCAAGATAAGGAATCCATAGACTCGCAGTTTGAAGAAAACGGAGCAGTTTAAGGCCTCCAAATCGTTCGAACAAAACACAACCTCACAGAATCGGATTTTCCTTTCCAAAGTGAGTTTAGCCCCAAAACCTTTCTTTTCATTTCCCAAATGATATGAAAGATAGGTGGGACTTTGATACACTATTTCAAGTGCATAATATGTCCTTATAAAGTTAATTTATTGATGAAAAGGTTAGATACTAACCTAGACAAAACCTTGAAAGGTTAGGGAACGAATTCGCCGGAAAACACCCGTTCTAGGGACTGTTTTCGTGTCTTCGGTTAGGAGTTGAGATAGCACCTTGAGGAGGATGTTTAACACTTATTTATAAACAAGGAATTAATTCTCAAACTCCCTTGGCCGAAGCTTGACCATTGGGTTGAGAAGGAACAATTTAAAGCTCATTTGAGGTGAGGATCGACATCTAGTTGCTTACAACTTGTAGGTTAAGCACGAGATTACCTAAATGTCTAAATCATGTTTTTCATGGATTATGATGACTGATTATAGATGAAATATGGATATATTTGATAAGGAATGAAATTGGAAATGATTTGAAATCATATTGATGAAAATGGAGTTTAATGAGCTATTACGAAAATAGGCATTTTGTTCATGTGTGAAATGTGTAGATACATAAATGAATATTTATTTATTACATTGGATGATTAAGTTGCTGCTACATATCTCTAAATATGTAGGGATTTACAAATGGCATATTTGATTGACTGGAATAATCTTATTAGTATTGAAATACTGGTTAATGATTATTTGTAACTGTTCAGAAATTGAATCGAAGGATTTGATTGTATGTGATGTACTTTAATGTGATTCAAGTGACTAAATTGAATTAGTATGAAGCTAAGATCTTGTTACGGGCAGTCTTAAGGATGTCCCAAAATAGATTGTTGTTATCTCAATTCTAGGCATATGTTTGCTTAGGAATTGAGTCTATGTCATGGCACGATGATGTACTTGAGTTGGACTCTAGAAGTGCATGGGTAGACATGAGGTTGTGATTGATGACATGCATGGTGATGTACTTGAGTTGGACTCTAGAAATGCATGGGGAATTTGAGGTTGTAGCCTATGTTGTGCATGGTGATGTACTTGAGTTGGACTCTAGAAATGCACAGTGGAGTAATTAACTTGTGTCATATGATTTGCATGGTAATGTACTTGAGTTGGACTCTACAAATGCAAACATATGTGTTAGGGTTGGACCCTATGAATTGTCGTGACTGGTAGTCACGGGGTATTGGGTTAATGTTTTTCGTAAACAAACTTTGGGCCTACGGGCCGACTACTTGACTTTATATAAAGTAAGTATATTTTGAAAAGAGGTAACTTGGGCTTACGGCCTAGATTATAGTATCACTCTATTTGAGGGTCTTGTGTTTGAAATACTTGTTGTATATCTATTAGATGCCATCCACACCAGTACTTTATAGCCGTATAAAGTACTGACCCCCTTTTGGGGGGGTCCCACCACCATTTCAGGTTGAGGCTAGAGCTTGCTACCTGTGCTCGTTGATCGGGTGATCATCTCGGAGAGAAGACTTAGTTCGTGCTTTCTCCATTCTGTTTTTGAACATTTATAAACATGCTCTTGGATATTTTTTTCATTATAGAGCTTGCGTGCTCATGTTTACCCCGTGTGGCATTTGTTTTCAAACCATGTTTTCCGCTGCGTATTGAATTACTTATTATGTATGTTTAGGATGACTTATGTGTAAATGATATTCGAGACGCCTTGTATAATATGGATGTGTTGGACTGCGGTTGACTATTCGTATTGTACGGTGGGTTGTTGACGTG